TTACTCAGGGTATGGGTGTTTGCAGACCTTTTTTTAGTTTTGTATTACCTATTTTAAAGTTTTCAGGGATTCATGTATAGACTTCACAGTCGGTTTTCTTTTTCTTAAAATGAATATTTGCTAACATCGAAAAATCTGTTGTCCATCCGTGAATTTCATTCCTACGCGTTATATCTTGAACATATTTTAAGCGATACTTAAACCGTTTTTAAAACTTTTATTTTCAACTTACTGCAGCTCATTAGTCATTTTGCTAATTATTCTTAGTTTCTTCTTCTTTTTATTTGACAAAGATAAAGATAGTTTTCTCCGTGGTAGAGTAAAAGTTCATGTTTAAAGTTATCATGTACTTTAATGGAGAAGTAAACAGAATAATATATTTCCTAGTAACCTATAACGTTGCATCAATTTAGTAGTCTTCAAACAATGGAAGTTATTTCCTGGCAACATAAATAGGTATAAACTCTTTGACATCATTGATCTGCCTTATTCCTATTGTTTACGTTGTAAAACTGGACAAATAAAAGGAACATTTAATGTGACCGTACTAACTGCACTGTCTGGTATGTTTATAGTTTGTAAACGTTATAAATGACCATTCCTTAAAGAGTGAACTTAGTTTTCAGTTAAAATATTTACCAATTATGTTCGTAGAAAAGTACGCACAGTTTTTTCTCCCTCCTACAAAATAATTGTTGATGAAAAGTACTGACATGCGGTATGTCAACAAGAAATGCGACGTGTCTAAAGAATTAAGACACAAAATACATTTAATCCTTCTTGTAACATCTTAAACTGGAGCCGCCATTTCGTTAGTATTAAGAGAGGAAATTTTACTCTCAACAAAACGTATTCTTCTTAAAGAATAACATTGATTTTCAGGTTTATTCCAAGCTTTTTAAAACAAATTATTTCGACTAACCTTCAAATTTGTTATATATTATCAAATCAATATGTATGAAATAATGGGATTCATTGAGGATCTAGAAAACTTAAATAGAAAATAAATGGAGAATGTGTCCATGGGACACAGATGAAGCCCCCGCTTGCATATAACGTAATCAGGGGCATAATTTAAGAACGGTAAAAGTGACTCCACCCAAATTGGAACTTGATTTGAGTTTTGGAGTAATACGCATTGTGTATAAGTTTCATAACATTTAGTTGAGGCAAACTCAAATTAGAGAACGGAAACGAAAAATTCAGCAATTTTTCCATTTGTATAGGGGAATAACTCTAGAACGGTAAAAGTGATGCCACCCAAATTCAAACTAGATCTGTGTTTTGTGTTAATAAGCATTGTGTATAAGTTTCATAACATAGATGAGGCAAACTAAAGTTAGAGGACGGAAACTTATTTTGGGACGTACGTACGTTCGTACGGACGGACGGACGGACGTACAGAAGGACAAGGTTTATACTTGATGTTGTCTCCGCTGCGCCGGGAGCATAAGAATAACACCGCAGCAGAAGTTATGATTATCTGGATATGAAACACCATATATAATGCATCTCTAGTTATCAAATTTAAAACGTACATATGTATAAAAACAACATTGTACAAATATTTGTGACCATTGGAATGCACTGAAGAATTCCTTGTGTATTTTAGTCAGTTCATTTTTTTATAATTTAATTTTGGACGTAACACGTCTTCTAATTGGCTGAAAGTTGTTTGTCTATCAGCTCATAGACATAATTTTGTCATGTGACCGTAAACGTCATCAACGTTTTTTTTTCATGATTTACTCCTTAAAAAGGGAATTTAGAATTAAATTATAAGGAATGACTGTAATATTTTTTTCTGTCTATTCGAAATAACCTCAAAAATGTGGTGCACACTTAAGTGAGTGTGACACAAAAAAATATTACAGTCATTCCTTAAATATACTAAATTTTACCGTTTATCATTATGTTAAGATTTTCGGTCTTCTGTCATGACAAATAACAGTATAGTTTTGGTAATGCATTTCAATCTGATGTATAGTCATTACAAACACACAGTATAGTTTTGGTAATGTATTTCAATCTGATTTATAGTCAAAATGACGTTATGTCATAAATTGACGACAATGCACCCATTCGTCTTTTACCGTAACAATTCCGGTACATTAAAAGACCATTCCATTTTTTGACCCGATCAATAATTATGAAAATCAACAAATGAAAAAATGTTGATACTATAAATTAACTCTCATACACTCAACTTATAGAATTCCTTACAAAATTAAATGTCCTTTCTATTGTATGAGTGAAGATTAGACGAGAAAATATAATCTACTGCTTTTATAAACTATTTATCTGTTTTATATCTGATTTGGTTGTCGTTATAAACTAAAGATTCATCAATATGTCTTTTTTTTATATTGTTAAAATGTTACATTTTCTGAATTTTATATCATATTAGGTCTTGTGTATGTGACGGTTAAATGGTTTTTGTTAAATAAACAATAGTGGATTAAAACATAATTGGCAGTCATATTGTCTGATTGAGTTGGGATTTTTCTTTAAAAAAGTGTTATTACATTGTTTTCCTGGTAAAATTTCTGCTGCCTCATATAAATCAGAACACTTGATCAAGATGATAAATGCTAATGACGATAGCGATCCTTCGGTAAAGATCACATATACATGTTGAAATGTTCCTGCAAATTCTGGAAACTTACTGTTTAATCTCTAAAATTCAATCAGTTGCGTCCAACTCTGATAGTTCCAGAACCTTGTTTTGTTTGTTCTTGTGTTTACCGTTCTCATACAGTTAAGAGCTATTCCTGTTCTTTTATGCACCTTTATTTGTCTTTATTGTAGTTCTTATACAGTTAAGTGCTATTCCTGTTCTTTTATGCACCTTTATTTGTCTTTATTGTGTGATAAGGTTGATGTCTCATTAACGTAAATCTTTTTTTCATCCTACCTTCTTTATAAGATTTATCATAACAAATTTGAAAAAAAAAACATGAAATAAAATGGTGTTTTAAACAACATATACATTCCCTTTATATGTATAGTGCTGGATATTATACCCTTTCCTCCTATATATATATATATATTATTAAAATATACTTTTTCACTTTTTTGGTCTTTTCGAAAATGTTGTTTGTGCTGTATTTAGACCCCTCTAACAAGAAATTTGTTTTGCATGTACATGTATAAAAATTGCGGTTTTTATCCAACGCAATCATAGGTTTGAACGTTGTTTTCAATTTAGACTTATTTATATATCTCTACAGTATCAGTTTTCTGTTGTTCATCTTTGGTTCATGATTATATTGGTCAGTCTGTTTTTGCAGCGCATGCTTTTCATTGTCTTCAACACTAAACAGATTATCGACTTAATATGTTTACTACATGAAGTGATTACTTTCTCTCTACATAAATATTTACAACTTAACATGATCTATAAAGTCTTTAATGAACAAATAAAGGTTTACTATATTTAATAACGACATCAAAACAATTCAATATTGGTAGATAAGGAGAGTGTTGACCGCGGACAGTGTATCCTTTCCCTCTATGTATTTTAAGGTAAGGATGGTCTTTAAATAGACAGCAGATAGGCAGAAATCTTTATATTAAATTAGATGTCTATCTCCATAAAATGGACGTAGGTGTAAAGCTATATAAGGATTCCTTGATAAACATTTAAACCTATCATTCCAGATAATCTATAAGTGAGGTAAGATGTTTCATCATAATATCATGTATGCTTTTCACTTGACTTGATTATTAGGTTAGTCATTTTTATGCTTCAAATTAATTCAAGTTTGCAAACATATGGAGGCGTTTACATACGGCTTCTTTTTAAACGTCACTCTTTTTCTGACTTTAAACATTAGCATCAAGATATGTACCATTTTTTCATTACTGCATATGTACCCTGTCACGAAACCGCTGATGGTGGCCTACATAGTCTAAGGACATTATTCTCTGGATACCACTGTTGGTGGACTTTTTCTCTGAGGATTTTATTCTCTTAATAGTCAATGCTTCAATAGCATATGATTTAAAAGATTCATTTTAATTGAAATTACAGTAGATCTTTTTATATTAGCCTAAAAGTTACGTTAAAATGTTCCTTTAAATTCTAGAGCAACCAATAACTTAATGCATAAATAAATAAAAAGTAAGAAAACTATATATTTAAAGAAAAGAGTTACTTATATAGTACAATTTTCTATGATGTTGCTATAACTGGTTCAGCAGTTTGAAATGGATAATGTACTCTGCGATATGCAAAAAGGAAAAGCTAATCTATCACATCACCAGATATTTCATTATTTTTCAGAGGTAATATTTGATCAACTACTTCGCGTAACTTCTCTCATTCTTTCCTCTACCATTAGATCTACAGAGGTGGTAAAATTTCTATAATCCTGTAAGATTTGGCCTTTAGATATCAAGTAACCATGAATATATAAAGTATAGTTACTTATGATTGCCATAACCGTTTACCCATACCGTACAATTCGTCTCACCAGTTACTGGTCCCAGACTTACAAATTAAATATAAATGATTGACATTTTATGGATCAGTCAATCTTCAAAACAATCTTTAATTTTTTAATTCGTCGTCCATTACCAATCTTTAAAATGGACATTACTTAATGTCATATCTTTATTTTCAATTAATTTATCTATATTTAAGTATGACAGGCCATTAATGAATCTTTGGAGTGTTTGTTTGAGGTCTCAGTGATCCACGGCCTTCATATATGATTCAACTTAAGAGAAATCTTAAAGCATGCCGACATACAAAAGGACTTTTGTTATTTTTACTAATGATTTTTTGACGTCATTAAAGTCATTTGAAAATTTAAATTCTTTCGATTGAAGGTGGGATTTAAAAGTTGCGTGTCGAATACCCATTCAGTTTCCGCGTTACTTAAATAAACATATAAACATCCGATTCCAATTGGCATACCGCTTCCGATCATATATATATATATATACATCATAGGAATATGTATATATATATATAAAGCAATGTTCTCATGATCAGTTTTAATTTATTCAATTGCAGAGGAATACTTATTTCTAATATCTATATTGAGTAAACTTTATGTAAGTAAGTGTAAAAATGTTGATTTGTTTTCGGACAGTGAACTAATTATAGGGGGAATAATTCTTCTTGCGATTTCTTCTATATTTTGTACAAAGGTTTATTTTATCACAACACAACGGAGTTGTTGCAAATGTTTTGATACATCATAGGAAAATGAAAATGTACTTTTTATTTAATTGTTGATTTCATTTCTTTGCAGATTGCATATTAACATAATTTTACCAAACTTGCTGTTCAAAAATTATTTCAAAGGTAAGTTAGAAAGTGTTACTTTAAATATATTTTTTCTGTAAGTTTTGAAATAGAAATAACGTGAAAAAGCGGTATTTTCAATCTTTTGTATAGAAGTTCTTGTCAAGACGGTAATATAAAACAGGTAAAATTAAACGGACAGATTTTACCATGTGCTTACGTTTTTGCAGGTTATGCAAAAATCACATATATTGATGATACGATGGATATTTTATTTAATTAAGAGTATATGATAATCCAGAAGATTTGGAAACCTTAAATTAGTATAAAACTCTGTGTGAGGTATTTAACTTTCAGATAGGATAAAAATCGTTACGATGACAAGAATATTTTCCAATATAGGACACAGCTGGAAACAGAACGAACACGTTTTAGGAGTAAAATGCTGATAATGTAAATACGACCCTTATGGTCATACAATTTCATTTGATGACAAACTGATTATGCCGGTATAAAGAGATCAAATTTTCCAATAACGTCTTAAAGTTATCTTTAGTGAGTTAAAGAGAAAGGGATATATCATAGAGGTAAATTTCATTATGATAGTAATACAAAGCAGATGAGTACATACAATTTATTTCACATTTTCATAGTAAAATAATTTAATCTATTCATATACTTTCAGTTCACGTCATTACCTCCAAGTGGAAAAATGCAACCAAAGATTCCACTTATTCTGTCAAGGCCACACGTGTGGTCTCATAATACTAATTATGTTGGTGCAGTCGGTCTACACAGTGAAAATAGCTCAGCTGCACGTGCTCGAACACTTAGTATAGACAAACGTTTGAATAAAGTCATATCTGTGCTTAAAGACATGGAACGAAAGGATATCCAAAAGATTGAAAAATCTAAACGAGACATTCAGAACTCTATGTTAGCATACACTGAAAAAATGAAACAAATAAATGCTTCTAAGCGAAAAACTATTCAATCCCCCGAACAATCAGACTCCAATAGTAGTAATTCGACATCAACACTTGCCTCACCTGGCAGTTCTCCAGGAAGTGATAAATATTCACCAAGAACACGTAATGTATCACCGGTTAAGAGTCGCAGAGTGTCTCTTCCAAAAATTGGACTTAACACACCAAGAAACATCCATAAGAGAAGACTGTCTAGTGTTTCCGACAGTGAAGCATTGCCTAATTCATTAAGTCAAAGCAGATCACGATTATTGCAAGAGACCTCTTCAAGATCGTTTACTTCAAGTTTTAGTGAAAATAAGGAATTTGATAAACAGAAGAATAAATCAGAAGATAGTGAAGATAACCATATTGAAATAAGTCCGTTTCCGTATGAATCTTTTGATTACGATAACTTGAAATATGGCAATAATGACAACCCTACTATTTCGCAAAGGGATCGTCTACACAGAAAAAGAATCAACTATAAGCACTTTAAAGATGAAAAAGAACTTGAACGTCAACGTATACTTATGAAGAAAAAACAATTACCCGAAAGTGACCCCTTTGACCACAGGAAAGAAATTTTACGTCAGCAGGCGGAAAATAAACGCGCTGCACTACTTTTAGAGAAAGCAAGACAAGAGGCAGTGAAAAATAAGAAAGATGTATGTAATTCTTTCTGTTACTCTTTTGCAATGGAAGAATTGATGAAAAAGTCGGATCCACTGGCATACATTGCTTCAGAAAAGGACTTCATATCTAAAGTAGAAGTTGATAAAAATGGTACAATTAAACAAACACTCGGTCCTGCTGTGTTGACAATCATTGGTGTTGATGAATTAGAAAATTTTCAGGGAATGAGAATAAAATGGTCCGCAAAATACCGTTCACATAATATAGAAGAACATGAACAGTCTGGAGATATTTTTCTTCCACCAATAACAGTTGGAGGACAAAAACATAATTTTTCACGGGAGACCACGCGGGAACATGACAATCTCCATATTCAGAGACTAGATACTCAGTCAACCATATCAGTAAGTTAACTGGTTGATGGTGTTTTAACTGTAATGTAAATTGTTGGTTTGTTTTTAAATGTAATGAGGTTAGATACCTGTAATACAGTAAATGCATGCTCTAAACAAAACAAGGATTGGGTTGCTGTCTCATTGACATGTAATCCATATCTCCTTTTATTCATAGCAAAGACGTATCGAGAGATATTTTGGTTACAAAAACATTGTCGGTTCCAAACAAACATTAACTTGCCATAATATACTTTAAAATTGTTGGAATAAGTGAAGCACAAAATATTTGGTCGCTTCACACGTAGAGCAGTCCACACATACGGACACTGTTTTACATGCATCTAACCTCAATGATATATTTGGTGCAGTTGATAGTTTTGAATAATTCAGGGATAAACTAACATTGAAGCTAATTATCGGTGCTGGTTAAATTATTATTGCTTGAATAATTATAATTCTGCAATTTAGATTATTAAATTCCTATAAAGCAATTAATCTTGTGTTTGCATACGGGTTAAATCTAATAGTTATTTGAACGAAATTAAGAACAAAGTATTTCAGTCCGGGTTCTTGTTTATTTTCACAAAAGTTTGGTTTTCAGTTGTCTGATATTTCAATCTTTTAGTTCATTTCAAAATAGAACATGGAAGTTTTTAATTGAACCATCAGACAAATTTTACGAAGATTATAACAAATAGTATCTTTTCTACCTTTTTGGTTTCGATTCGAATGAAAAGATAGTATATGCTAAGATGTCAATAAATGTGATTATTTTTTATTATAAATTATATCTCGCTTTGTTATTCATTTCAATTTTCGACTGAAATGAGTAATAGTTTGTGATTATGTCAGATTGGGATCGCCCAATAATAGTTACTGCCTTGTACATTTCGTTGACAGAGATTTGTAATTACTTTTTCGATGTATTTTACTACAAGGCCTTTAATAGATATATGGTTGTAGTCTGTGCTATTTGACAGAAATATTTATATGCGAGCAATAATTTAATTAACGTTACATGCATCATTTATGTGTTAATTTTCACAAAATTTCAATCTTTTAGTTCATTTCGGAAAAGAACACGGAAGATTTTATTGAACCATCATACAAATTTTACGAAGATTATAACACATAGTATCTTTTCTACTTTTTTCGATTTCGATTCGAATGAAAAGATGTTATATGCAAAGATGCTTATTTCTATTATGACTTGTATCTCGCTTTGTTATTCATTTCATTTTTCGACTGAAATGAGTAATATTTTGTGTTTGTATAAGAAGGGAATCATTCAATATTAGTTTCTGCCTTACAAAATTTTGTTGACATGTCTTCTTATTGTTTTTTACTACATGACGTGTAAAAGATATAGAATTGTAGTCTATTTAACAGAAATATTGATGATTTAACTAATTAAGCTTATTTTAAAGATAACATGTTTATTTTCACACACATTCGGTATTCAGTTGTCTTATGTTTCAGTCTTTTAGATCATTTTGAAATAGAACATAGAAGATTTTAATTTAACCATCAGAAATATTTTTACGTAGGTTATAACACAAAATATCTTTTCTACCTTTTTGGTTTCGATTCGAAAGAAAAGAATTTTTTTTGTGGAAAGAAGTTAAAAATGCGATCTATAAAAAAAAAATATCGCCTTATTATTCATTTTAGTTTCGTTGCTTGTGTTTTTGACTGGAATTTGAAATATTTTGTGATTTAATAATATTGAATCGTCAAACACTGGTAAGTGCCCTATAAATATCGTTTTAGATGATGTGTACTTATTTCGCTGTATTTTATCACAAGGCGTAATAGATATAGTATTATGGGCTTTTTTATTTGATAGAATTATTAAAATGATAGTAATAATTTAACGAAGGCCATTTTCAATTATATATAACCAATTTATATGTATGTGTTTAATGTTTTATTTTCACAACATAAATTAGTTGAGATGCTATCAGTTACTTTGATATGGTTTGTAAATACAATTAAGGAAATTGAAATTAATTTGAAATAACATTTTAACTTTAATAACATGAAACAGCAAATTCAATTTCACTTGACACTCTTTAGCTTTTAAAATCATTTCTTATTAAATTTTATTACTATATCATCTTAACCAATCTATAGTTTACTTCAATTTGCAAAGCTATATGGAAGTCTGTATTGTACAACATTTAATTTTTAAACGATTTGTATTTTCAATCAATTATTTTAAATCAAAAACTCTATCTTCAATTCACTAAAATTTCATTTCAGAAAAAGAAACAAAATAGACGGCGAAAACGCAAGGCTTCTATGTCTTCCAAAGGATAGATTAATTGTGATATATGATTGTGTATTGAATCTCATATTTGCCAATAAATATAAAGTATGGAATTGCATAGTTTACTTCTTTCTTTTTGTCGCAACCAATCGAGAGAGAACAAAAATTGTTGCACATAAAGTAACATCACTTTTAGTTATTCTCCATGTCCACTTTTCCTGGTCGTATTTCATTTGAATTTCTCATTGTCTTTTTCTGATCGGACTTCTTTAGGTCTCACTCAATTATGACTTCTCCTGGTCTCACTTCATTCGTAATTTTCTTTCTTCTCGATCCTTTCGCACTTAATGCCATATCGATTGCGTTCACACCGTCATGTCTACTGTTCTTCGCTGCCTTTCCATTCAGACGACCTTATTTTTTCCCAGATGACAAGACAGAGTCTTCTAATATTTGAGTTTTTAACTGGCTTTAGAATGATGTCTTTATATCTAGTGCATATATTGCCTATCTTGTATTATGTCTGTAAGATGCCAAAAGAAAAATTCATTTTTGTAAAAGTACAATTTTTGTGGAGTGTTGTTTAATATCCGTTCGAAATAATTTTCTGAGAATATGAGTGATAAGTATAAATTTTAAATTTTCCCCATGCAAGTACTTTATCTCATTGTATGCGCAGTATCACTGTTCTTATCTTTGTTGTATTCAATACACTGCATATTAATGTTCATGCTACTATTCTGTCACATACTTGGTATCATTGTTGGAATCAATCTGCAGTGTGACAGAATATTGTTTAGTCAGCGTTCTGCATGAAGAAACATTTTTATGCTAGCTACTCCTTTTTCTAATTCTGATTTTTTTCTTCATTTTATGGCGTAGAATAGAATAGCATAGAATAAGATCTAGAGGTATATCATATCCAATATGTTTTTTTTCAATAAACCTTTCTGTGATACTCATAACAGCAATAAAATGCAACACATAACAGAAAACAACAAAGTAGGAAATCACGAACTGCACCAGCACACAAAAGCATGGTGATATCGCATTACAAAACTACTTAGGAAATAAGTCGAGAAATATGACTTTACTCTTCGCAAGTAGTAGTCGTTTTACTATTTGCATGATGTAGTTTTAACTACTGACATGGTGTAATCTTTGTACTATTGGCATGCTGTAGTCTTTTTACTCCTGGCATGGTGTAATATTTTTACTACTGTCATGGTGTAGTCTTTTTACCCCTGGCATTGTGTAGTCGTTTTACTCCTGACATGGTGTAGTTTTTTCCCTCCTGGCATGGTGTAGTTTTTTTTAACTCCTGGCATTGTGTAGTCGTTTTACTCCTGACATGGTTTAGTTTTTTTTACTCCTGGCACGGTTTAGTCGTTTTACTCCTGGCATGGTTTAGTTTTTTTACTCCTGGCATGGTTTAGTCGTTTTACCCCTGGCATGGTTTAGTTTTTTTTACTCCTGGAATGGTTTAGTCGTTTTACTCCTGGCATGGTTTAGTTTTTTTACTCCTGGCATTGTGTAGTCGTTTTACTCCTGGCAGGGTGTAAATTGTTTTTACCCCTGGCATGGTTTAGTCGTTTTAGTACTGACATGGTGTAGTTTTTTTTCCCTCCTGGCATGGTGTAGTTTTTTTTACTCCTGGCATGGTTTAGTCGTTTTACTCCTGGCATGGTTTAGTTTTTTTACTCCTGGCATGGTTTAGTCGTTTTACCCCTGGCATGGTTTAGTTTTTTTACTCCTGGAATTGTTTAGTCGTTTTACTCCTGGCATGGTTTAGTTTTTAACTCCTGGCATTGTGTAGTCGTTTTACTCCTGGCATGGTGTAAATTGTTTTTACCCCTGGCATGGTTTAGTCGTTTTACTACTGACATGGTGTAGGTTTTTTTTACTCCTGGCATGGTTTAGTCGTTTTACTCCTGGCACGTTGTATTTTTATTATTGGTATAGTCTTTTATCACACCAAGAGGTCTACAAACAATTTGTGATTACTTTGACACTTTTTAAATTAGTGTTTTGGATTATAGAACAATGGAAGATCCTAAACTGAATATCAATATTAGTACTTAAAGAACCCTTTTGTGTTAATAGGTAGGTAGTATAAAATAAATTAATGTTCACAATGTAAGTAGAAATAATTTGCTAATATGTTGAAACAGATTGTTGTTGGGAACGTGATAAAATAACCGAAAGTCTTAGATATCATGAAAAGTATGCTGCTTAAGTCATTATCCGTATCAATATTATCATATATTATTCGTCTGTATTGAGTTGTCAGAGTGTGGTTGTTAGATATTGTATAAGTCATAGAATATCTATATAGGGATCACCAAAATGAAACAAATTAAACAAAAATTAAAGTTAATTTCGATGATTAACAAATGAAATTACACAGAAAGTTGACACTATCGATGTGACCATCTCTGACCTCGCTTAAGATACCAACAGGTTCAACAGTAATTCTACACACTACTTAAAACTTCTAACCCATATCTTGTTTTAACATTTTTCATTTCATTAAAGCAACAAATGAATAACTTACTGAATTTAAGAGAAAAAAATCATCGATATCTACCTATATCATCAATTACATACACAGGTTCGTATCAATTAGTAAAGAAATCTGATGTTTAAACTAAGAGTGTGCATAGCACGTTTGTCAGCCAAAAACTGTGATGGGCTCATAGAAATTCTTTAGTGAGTTAACAACATTCTTTTAAAATGTTACAATTAATGCCAAAAGCTGTTTATACATAACCTTATAGGAAAAAAGCATGGTAATGCGACAACATGGTCCTACATGCAAAGATTGTGATAAAACTTGCTAAACAGGATACACAGATAAATGTATGTTACCCAGAAAAGATGTTGAAGGCAATGGAAATCCACACGAACAGAAACACAAACATATATGTTGCATTCAAATTTGCTCTTTGGCAGTTCAGAAGTCTGTAGGTCTTTTTTAGCCATGGCGTTGTTAGTTTATTTTCTACTTATGAGTTTGAATGTCCCTTTGATATCTTTCGCCTCTCTCTTATTTCGAAAACAAATTTTGAATCGCAATTGATTATATTCCTATATAGCAACTACATAAAAAAATAAAAGAATAATAATGCCAATGTTGATGAAAAAAAGTATTCCAAAAACAGGTATAGAGTGGAAGAATAAGCAGATATATTCCGTTCTAGTAAATTTTGAATATATTAATTATTATTTTTGTGGTTATATATAAAATTATTACAACGGTGGCAAACAGTAGCACTTTCATACTTTTCGTTCTTTTGCGACTTCCGAAAATTTTGTATGTGCAGATAATGCTATTTAAGTACTGTTTTCAATACTCATTTGTCTTTTTAACGGACATCAATTTTTTTTTCAACAGTACAGCAAAGAAAAAAAATGTAGTAAATAGATAGAATCAAAGAATCAAACAAAAAGTGAAAAAAAATAACACATCTCAACCAGTACGCACGAACCAGACAAACACAACGGAAAGCGATCTGTAACTATTTCTTTTACACTTTTATCAAACATTAATCTATATAATTACATCTATACGTAAAACAAATATAGAACAAGACAAAACGTCAAGACAAGTATAACTTTTATAAAAAAAAATTGGGGAAACCTCGTAACATTTGGAATAGGTATGTCAACGGAATCTTTTTAACTCACTTTTTTACACTTATAAATAAAAAAAAAACACGGCTTAATATTTACAGACATAATGGAAAATATATTTCAAAAGTCAGTAACTGCGAGTACTCTCAGATCTGTACTTATTGTCTTTTTTGTTTTGGGGATGTATAAAGACCCTGCCACATCCGGTCTGTGTTTTTGTTAGATATTTTTCTGCTTTTTATCGATCTAATGATTTAAGCCCTTTTCAACTGATTTTTATAGTTTGTTCTTATGTTCTACTGTTACACCACTGTCTCCGGTTAGGGGAGGGTTTGGTGCCAGCCAACTAGTTTAACTCCGCTACATTATGTATGTGCCTGTCCCAAGACAGAAGCCTGTAATTCAGTATATTTGTTTTTCGTTCATTGTTTTGTACATAAATCAAGCTGTTAGTTTTGTCGTTTGAATTGCTTTACATTTGTCATTTCGGGGCCTTTATAGAAGAGAGGCGAAAGAAACCAAATAGACATTCAAACTCTTAAGTCAAAAAACACTGACAACGCCATGGCAAGAAAATAAAAAACCAACACACAAACAATAGTACACAAAACACAACATAGAAAAACTGAAGACTGAGCAACACGAACCCCACAAAAAACTGGGGGTGATCTCTGTAGCTGCGGAAGGGTGAGCAGATCTTGCTCCTCATGTGGCACCTGTCGTATAGCTGACTATGAGGTATGGGTTTTGCTCATAGCTGAAGTCCGTACGGTGACTTATAGTTGTTAACTTCTATGTCATTTGGTCTCTGGTATATAGTTGTCTCATTGGCAATCATACCACATCTTCTTATTTTTATGTTGACAAATGTTTGAATTTGGATGTACTGAAGGACTAATAAAAACATGAAATGCACAAAAATGTCGGCATTCGCCTCAAAGGCTAACCAAACCTTTAAACAGACTTATTCGGAAAGGATATAGTTACGATACTGTTTGTCAGGTCATTAAGGATTGCATATTTTGGTATTTATATTGATTCACTCATAGGGTCTTTGCATCGGAAAAAAAAACACATTTATTCTAAAACCAGTTGTTGGCATGATACGGGTTATGTTCTTCTCATATATTTTATGATGGTATGATACTAAACCCCTAACAACGGGAGGGATTGTACTTGATTTTCATATGATGAAGACATAATCTTTCAATCAGTTTAATTGGGGTCTGGAGCTGGCATGTCAGTAACTGCTAGTAGTCCTTTGTTTATTTATGTATCATTGTCATTTTGCTTAGTTTCTTTTGTTACCTATTCTGACATCGGACTCTGACTTCTTTTAAACTGAGTTTTACTGTGCGTATTGCTATGTGTTTCTTTATTCTACATTGGCTAGAGGTATAGGGGAGGATTGAGATCTCACAAAACATGTTTAACCCCGCCGCATTTTTGCGCCTGTCCAAAGTCAGGAGCCTCTGGCCTT